GGAAGCGGCTTTAGATTCTCAGTGCTGTGCTTTAACCCACTGCGCCACCAGAGAGGGCCACAGGGGCTTTTTCTAAGGAGGGGAGTTGGGGCTGGTCGGCGGAGTCAGACCTTTTGAGGATGCTGGACGGAGGCTGCAAGAGGTATTGGTGGATGTTGCCCAGGGCTCGGCCTTGGAGGCAGGCAGCAAACCAGCTCCCTGCCATGGGCAGGGGACCTTCTGGGTCTTTGCCGGGCCCCCAGCAGCACAGGGGCATGATGACGCTTACCTCTCAGAGTAGTTGCGAACTAGTAGAAGTCGAGCCGATTCATTGTACAGACGTTCACCCAACACGTAAAACCAAAGATGTGAGCCAGGTCCAATCCTGACTCTCGCTGAGCAGACAGACTGGAGCAGGCGTGACAAACATGCAGTTTGAAAATGAGCAATGTAAACTAAAACAGTAACCTTGTTCATTGTTGATTTATTCACTTAGAAGTTTTATTTTTACTTTAAAGATGATTTATTTATGCATATAAGAACTAGGGTACAGGCTAGAGGTGTGTGTGTGTGTGTGTGGAGGGGTTGGGGGGTGAGAGGATTCACCAGAGACAGAGTGGGGAGCAGAACAGGCAGATTGAATAAAATGCTGAAGGGAACAGTGGGGAGACAGGAGAGGTCTGCTGCACCCTGTGGGTCAGCTCTCTGCCTAGGGATTGAACTCGTGCTGCAGTGGCTGCAGACAGCTTCATAGTGCTGTGCTCTAACCTGTTGTGCCACTTGAGAGGCCCCTACAAAACTTTAAAATGTTGTATCATTAATAAGCATAAGTGGGGCTATGATGGCAGAGATTAGATGTTGGATAGAAAATAATAAGAAATGTGTCTTGGGTAAAGGCAGTCAGGGAAGGCTGCTCAGGGGAGATGTCCTTCCTTTCTCCCTTCACTAAGGTGGCACCATAGGGGATGTTCACTGTAGGGTTTTTTTTGTCTTTTTTCTGTAAAGGGGACCTGAAAGAGGATGCGACTGGTAGAAAAATAATTAACTGATGATGTGGTGGGGTGACAAGAAAAATCAAAAGGTTACACAGTAAAGAAAACCATCACCAAGTAAAAAGGCAGCCTATAGACCAAGAGACATGGACTCGGAAGTCCTGTCTGATAAGTGGCAGTTAACTAAACCATGGGCTTGTGCAGTTCTGTAGCAAAAACACAATCTGTGTAAAGCCAGGCAAAGGATTTGCACAGGCTTCTCTCTAAAGGAGACATCCAAGTAGATGCCTCGCTATGAAGCACCGCTCATCCCCAAGCACCGCTCATCCCTTGATCAGGGCTCAGGTTCACGATTCCCCGGGGACATACAAGCCAGCACCACAGTGCGATGGCCCCCCTCCCCTGGCAGAAAGTCTGTCCTCAGGAACGTGAGCAGCGAGTGTCAGTTCTGGCCCAGTAGGACACAGAGACATGACCAGAGCTGTGGCCCTGTCTGGCCTCCTCACCCGCTGGCTCTTCAGAATCTGCAGAGACAAGGAAACAGCCCTGTAAGCAGTGTCGCTGCCCCCGGTTCCCAGGGCAGGTGAGACAGGCCAGGGCAGGTGAGACAGGCCAGGGCAGGGGCAGCTGGCCGCTGTGTGGGCACAGGCCCCAGGTGTGTCCTCCTGCACTGGTTCCCACTGGAACCTCTCGAAGAGGTTAAAATGACTGATGCCTGGGTTTCGTTCCTAGAGCTTCAGAGCCCTCTGCATAGGCATCTGGAATTTTCGAAGCTGCTCAGATGATTCCAGTGCAACCAGCATTGGAAAGTTTATAACCCCAAGGAGCTGCTGCCCTGAGGAGCAGACTCTGAAGAGCCCCCGCGTGGAGGTGGGGAGGCCACACAGGGCCACAGCTCTGGTCACGCACAGTCACGGCAGCAGTCTCGGTGGGCTCACCCTCTGCAAGGGGCTCTGGGCCACCTGTGACATCTGGACCCTTAATCGTGGGATTTGGTGACACCACTGAAGAGGCTTGGGAAGGCTTTTGATTGCCCCGGGGTGCTTCTGGCTGGGCTGTGTCTGTTTCTACAGGAAACACAGCCCCATTTCACCTTGTGTTAGGGGAAAGGACATCCTAAAGGAACTCTGCAGAGTTTTGTGGACCCCACCCCCACTCTAGTGATTGGAAACTACAACTCCCAGCAGTACCAGGGAGAGAACTGCAAGGACCCAAGGGCGGAGCTAAGCAGGCATTCTGGGATTTTTGGGGATAAATAGGGAGCGATTTTCAACGGCTCTGGGGGCTCGGCAACAGTTCTCTCTCTGGGGCTACTGGCTCTCGGGGCCATGTGACTAGGGGTTTTCAGTCAGTTTGTTACCAGAGCTCCAAGTCAGCCGAGCTGTCTCTCTCTCTCTCTCTCTCTCTCTCTCTCTCTCTCTCTCTCTCTCCCCCCCCCCCTTCCCCCCCCCCCTGGGCTGTTCCTTTTCCTTTCCCCTTTTGTAAATAAACCCATTATTGACCCTTGTGTGTGTGCCTGCAGTACAACTAAATTTTAAGCATGCGGGTGAGGCCCCACAGACAGGCAGCTCAGTTCACACTGGGGTGCCCTGTAACACTTGGAGTGACTGACCCCCAGCTTTGGGGCAAGGATACCCACCAGGTCAACCATTGCACCTCTTTTGATGGTTGTGGGTTCGTGTTATCCAGACTTGGAGCTGTTTTTCATTTTCTCAAGGGAGAAAATTCAGTTTCCACACTCTTTATGGCCAGGTGGACTTCGTTGGGCTGCCTTGACCACTCTCCCTCCAGCCAATCCATGTTTTCTTTGCACTGAGACCCTGGACTTGGGGACCCCACATTCTGCTAGACCACCCCAAATGCCTTCTTTGGGGACCAGCGTTGGGGGGTCTGCCGGAGCTGGAAGTGTATCGGAGCTGGGCCTTTGGAGAGGAGGCAGCTGCTGTAAAGAGTTGTCTGTTTTCTGTCGCCAGCCCTGGAGCAGCTGCTGACAGAGCTGGAGGACTTTCTCAAGATCCTGGACCAGGAGAACCTGAGCAGCACAGCCCTGGTGAAGAAGTATGGGCTGGCCGAGCTCCTCCAGCTGTACACCAAAAGCAGCAGTAAGTGTGTCTGGGGCTGGGGAGGACCTGGGAAATGACGGATGCTTGTATGCACCCACCTGGGAGAACAAAGCCTGCAGACTGGGTGCCCTGGCCAGCGTTCAGTCTCGGGGTTCGAGGCGAGCAGTCTGACCTCAGGGTGTTGCCGGGACTGCGGAGGGCTGTCTTCTCCCTGACCTGTACACCTGCTTCTCTCTGTGTGTCCCTTCTATGAGGGCACTGGTCACCTGGGGCTAGGGCCACCCTGTGGCCTCACTTAATATTGATTGTCTCGAAATTTCAAGACCCTTCTCCATACGCAGCCATGTTCTGAGGACTTGGCCTATAACTTTGAGGGAATGCTGTCCAGCCCAGAACAGTAGGACAGGAGTGATGGAACTGGAGGGGAGGCCCAGAAGCCCCTAAACATTTGACACAGCGTCCGGTGAATGAGGTCTTGAAGTGTTTTCAAAGCGCTCTCCCTGCTGGCTGGGGGTAGACAAGGGCCGAAAGGCTCGTACAGCACAGCTACGGCTTCATCGAATACTTCCTACCTGTGCTTGTATTAACTTGTTACATCTCCCAGACATGGTGTTATTATAGGTGAAAAACTGAGACACCGAGAGTTTAAATAACACTCCCAGTGTCATATAGCTCAAGGGAAAACAGGAAATTGTAGTTTCAAGATTTTTGTGGGGCCACAGTAACCTGAGCTCATGATTTATTTTTCTGTCTTTTGATGTCGATTTTAGAGCTAACCAAGCATTCAGGTTAGGAGTTTTGACAGTGGCACACACCTGTGTATCATTACCTAAGTCAAGAAATAAAATATTTCTGTCTTCCAGAACATTCCAGAATGCCTTGTCCCCAAGGCAACCATTATTTTATTTCTCTCATCATAGATTAGCATTGCCTTCCCTGGTGCTTCATATAAACAGAATCATACAGTGTGGATTTTGTGTCTATATTTCCTCACTCAGGAGATTCATCCATGCTGTGGGGTGCGTCTGTAGTTCTCTTACTGCTGAGTAGTTTTTTATTATGTGACGAGACCACAGTCTGTCGATGCATTTCCTTGTGGATGGACCTTTGGGTTGTTCTCAGATTCGGGTTATGAAGAATAAGTCTCCTCTGAACACACGAGGTTTTTCCTCGGGGACAGATAGTTTCATTTTTAACACATTCAGGCAGACTTTTCAAAGGAAACCTTGTGAGATCATAGCGGCTTAGTTGACTTTATATCAGATGTTGGAGAATCAGAAATGATGTCTGGGGACAGAAAGGGGCCCAAAGCAGGCATTCCATCCATCCCCTCGAGACAAGAGCAGCCAGAATCCATGCCACTGTGGGGCAGCACTCCTGCTCCAGCCCTCAGTCAGGAAATTCGCCTTCCAGCCAGCCTGAATCCTCCAGGCTACACTTCAAGGCCCCTTTCTTTGTTCCCAGTGGAACAAGCGTCTGTTCTCTGAATGGCAGAGAATCGTAAAGCTGCAGCACGTTGCTGCATGCCTGGCGACCTTCCTCCTGTGGACTCCTCCTGGCTGCCCTCAGCCTTTGATCAGAGGCGCCTTCTGGAGCCTCTGTCGCCCTTGCAGCTCTCTGAGCCAGCTTGTGGTTCCCAGGCACCTCCTGGCTTTGTAGTGAGCGTTGGCTGGCCTGCCACTGAGTGTGCTCAGCATCACATCAAAGCAAGCCCCCCTGGGAACGGCAGGTGCGAAATCCACATTACAAGGCAGGTGTGTTGGAGAAGGATGAGTCACCCTCTGGAAGGATGCTTCAGCGAAGCCTTTTACAGAACACCCCCTATGCAGTTGGCCATGCGCCTCTGGAGAATGCTCGGTGATAAACAGTACCTCTCTGGGGAGAATCCCTCTGATCAAGATTCCTAGCCCCAGCTCTCTATCTGAACCCCCTGAATTATTTCCTTTTTGGCTTACTGTAGCATTCCTGTAGAATGATCTTTGTTGCACCCTGAATCTGGATATGTTCTATCAAATCAGGCCTGTATCACCCTTGGTATCTGCAGTTTGCAGGAAGCTGTTGGGAACTGACCAGGGGTGCCCCTGTGTGGATCTCCCCCAGAGCACCCCCAGACCCCTAGAATGTGTACAGATGTAAGAACCCAAGGCTGCCACTTCATTCCCAGCTCCGACAAGCACTTCCGAAAAGCTGCAGTTAGACAACTTCCCTTCCGATCCTGTTGGGGGAACTTCAGTCAGTGGCAGAGATGTTAAACAGATTTCCCCCACTATAAAAAGGAGAATGTTTCCAGTTGGTAGGCAATTTTGGGGGGCCTGGAAATGCTAAAAAAAAATCCATATAAATTAGTGGTAATAGATTTCCAGACCCCCAAAAAATAACCTAACAAATCATACCAAATGAGAAGTTCTGCTTTCAGAAAGTGGGGAAACCTCTTACTGCAGCTACCACTTGGTTGACCGTGCTGTTTTCTGGAATGACGTGGATCACGTCATCTAATCTTCACCTCAAATCAGTGAGGGAGTTGTTACCCCCCCTTACCAACCAGGGAGCTGAAAACTTGCTTGAGGTTCGTGGTCATGCAGCAGAGCATGGCTCGGGGCAGGGCCGTGGCAGCCTCGAACACCCCACATTCCTGACTGATCTGCCCCAGACTGGTGGTTTTGCTGCAAGGACTGAATCCCACCTACCCTGAGATTAAGGCGTCCAGTGTCTTCTGTTAGCAAGCCAGGCCTGCCTCTGTGTAGCTTCTAGAAACTTCTGGAAAATTAGGCTAGGCTGATCGTCTCATGAGAGTTGGTCTACACTGACTGAGCTAGTGTTTACTCCCATATGTTTAGGGGTGAGGTGGGGAAGAGATAGAGAAAAGAGAGCCACATTCAAACGGAATTGTCTATTTGGGTTTTCTCACCTTCTAATACTGTAACCTGATTTTTCTCTCTCCACTTTTTGTCTAAATGGTGACATCCAGAATTGGATTGAGGTCTGTTTTGGAGGGCCTGCTGTTTGTTCCTGCTTTTGAAGGAATCCCCTGGATTGAGGTCCATGACCTGTGGCCCCCAAACGCCCTGCTTGGAAACTCTGGGGAAGTTCAGGGGCTGCCCAGCCGATAGAGTTTCTGTCATCCAAAGAGGGGGACCACATCCCTCTCTCCAAGCCTTCACTCAGTTCTCGTGGAGAGACACCTGCAAACAAGGCTGCCCTGTTCTCTCCTGGCCCCCCAGCACCCAGCTAGCCCTGGTGTTCAGCACACTTCCGTTGACCAGGAGGTCCTCCACCCGGGAATGCCTCCGCCCTCCGCCACAGGACTGCGCAGCAGCCTCCCCTTTTCAGCCCACGTGCATAGGGCTCCCCACCATTCTAGAAGGTTCTGGAACGTCGTAAGCCACCGCAGTAGTGCTGGGTGAGCAACCCTCGAGGAATCCAAACCTGGTCAGTCATGGCAGCAGAGCACCTGCCGAGCTGGCTGGTGGTGTTTGCTTGTGTTCACAAGCGGCCACCTGGCGCGCTCAGCGGAATCTGGCACTGAAGAAGCAGAACAGCATCTCCCCTTTTCTGTTTTAGCATCAGAGTGTGGGCTTGCATAACAACATGAAAAAAGGCAGGAACCTGAAGTGAATGTTCAACACGGTTTCCTCCAGTTCATTTTGGTCTTGATCACTGTTGTCTCAGTTTCTTGAGAGGCTGTGATTTACCTCTTGTTCCACTTTTTTTTTAAAAAAGATTTATTTATTCATACAGAACTGGGGTACAGGCCAGAGATGCGGAGGGTGAGAGGATTCACCAGAGACAGAGTGGGGAGCAGAACAGGCAGATCGACGAAGTACACTGCTGAGGGGAGCAGCGGGCGGGTCAGGAGAGGTCTGCTGCGCCATGTGGTCACCTCCAGGGCAGGCGGGAATCGAACTCATGCGGAAGCGGTTTTAGATTCTCAGTGCTGTGCTTTAACTCGCTGTGCCACCAGGGAGGGCCCCCTCTTATTCCACTTTTATATCGAGAACTGGCCCCTGTGCACATTTCCAAGTAGTGTCTGTCTGCTGCTCGTGTGTGTGTGTTTGCAAGTGTGTGTGCATGCGTCCCAAGGCTCGGCCTTTGGCTCTCAGCCTCAGATGTCTCTGTAAAGCAGCTATTAAGTTACTTTGTCATTTTTTCGCACGTGGGTCCTGTCCACTGATGGATGAACAAGAATGTGCTACTGGTCCCCTATCTGTGGACACCAATTTTTGTTTTTTAAAAGCAAAGACTGCTCATACAACATCACAGTGAAGATCCTCAAAATTTTGTTTACAAGCTAAAGTGATCTGCTGAATAAATGTTTGGCCGTAGAAATGCTGGGCCAAAGAAAAAGAACACGTTAATTTGCCCTCCAAAATCATTTCCAAAATGGTTGTGCTGATTGACACATTCTCGTGTGCTGTTTTTAAACGTGACCTGTACCTGCAGCATGGCGTGTTATATCTGGTTTATTTCACCAGTTTCCTCTGATTAAGCCTCTGAGAAGTTCCCATGTTTTAGGTGGCCATTTTCAATCTTTGATAGCTATAAGATAGTTTCACTTTTTCAGATGCCCCGATATACTTGAATCTTGTACTCTTGAAAATTTAAGAGTTAGGTGGGAACAGACGTTGCATCACAGCTGTTCCCTATACTATGTAGACAAAAAAAGCCAAGGCACACTGGTTAGGTGTTTTGCTCAGAATGACCCATTTAATGGCACAGCTTGGCCCACACCCCCATGTCCTACCTCCCACTGCTGGCCATCTGGCCCTGGTACCACGCTCAGGAAAAGGTACTGATCCGTCCGGGTCTCAGTTGGTGGAAGTTTGCCACTTGTAGTTGTGTTGAGACCTTATCCTTTCCCCCATAAGCTGCCCATGGTGTAGGGGTAACACTGCTGATCAGTCTTGGCAGAGCTGGGAGCCAGTGGCAGTCCCATAGGCTGACGGCAGAGGACAGATCAGTGAGTCAGCCTCCCATGCCCCTGGCTTCTGGGGCTGCTTTTCCAGGCCTGTTGGCTGGAGCCTGGCAGGCAGAAGATGGACTGTGCCGCCTCCTTTGGCAGGAGTTAGAGTCGGGCCCTTGAGCTTGGCAACTCAGTCTGCAGCCACTGGAATTTATCAGCCACAAGTTTCTAGGAAATACAAACCAAAGGCCTCAGAAAGAAACGCAGACGGATTTCTAAGAGGAGAAACACTAAGATGAACTTCTTCTGTGGGCTTCTGAAGGAAGAGTCTTTGGACATTAGAGACCAAGTGGGAGGGGAGTAGCCTTGCCCTGCCCAGGCAGGTGCTCAGAGGGGATTTGCCTGCGCAGAAATGGTATTAAAGGAGGCTGAATGCTGTTCAGGGTGTAATCTGTGGGGAACAGCAGGTGGCTGTGGTGCTCACTCTAATTGTTAAGCATTCTTACGCCCCCAAACCCAGAGTTCATGATTTGGCTATCTAAGCCCCCAACAGGGCACCCTAAATAAAGTTCTGGGGGCTAAGTTTTCAAGCTGTCAACATGATCTGTCTTGTGTAGGCATTGTTCTGATCAGTCCCTGCAAGTAATTCAGACTAGCTTGAGAGTAACTGATAGAAAAATTTTACAATTTAAATGAAATGCTATAAACCCAGAGAACTCTCTGCTTTGCAGAGTGTGATGCAAATCTGAGTGAAGAGTCACTTCCCACTTAAAGCTTTAATTCCTGAAGCAACTGTCCTTGTATATCCTCCCCCCTCATCCACCCCACATACCTCCCTTCTGCTAAAAAGCTCACATTCAATAACTAGATGTTTCCTTTTCTTTTCATTTTAAATATGTCAACACACTCTCTAATGGACTCTTGCAGTCAACTCAAAATGTCCTGTGCTTTTATTAGAACCCAAGCAGATGACAGTGTTTCTGGGAGACACTTTCTCGCCCGACTGCTTTTCCTTCATGAAGTCAAGTCTTGCTCTCTTTCTTGCAGGCTCCGATGAGGAGTACATTTACATGAACAAAGTGACGGTCAACAAGCAACCGAATGCTGAGCCCCAAGACAAAGGTATAGGGCTGGGCATGCCGGAGGCCTGGCCGTGTCCCAGGACAGGGGGCGGGGTGGGGAGAGTTAAACCTCATTTGTCTCACCCCTCCTTCTTCCCATCCGGCAACACAGACAGGCCTGGTGCAACTATTTTTGGAAGTTCCATTTTGGTTGATGATATTTTAGGTTGGTGTATTTTGGGCTATTTCATTGGGCCACCTCCTTACCTCGTAAAAGTCTGGCATTCCCTTCGTGGATAAGGAATCTGTCCCTAAAATCTTTCAACTTCCCAGCATTATCCCAGAAATAGGAAGTCATAATTCAAATGTTCTAAGGAGCCAGCTGTGTATGGTGTTGATCCCACAGTTCCAGATTTATGTCTTTTGATAGAAGTCTGGATTTTATGGTGGTGGTGGGTGGGGTGGGAGACAGGGGCCTGGGGATAGGAAATGACATCAGCAGCTGCCTTAACAGTCAAAGGTTTTGTTCAAGGGTGCCCTCTTCGGCAGAACATTTCTTCTTCCATTAGAGGGACCTATTGCATTTTCCCTGGTGTCTGCTGCTCTATTCTGCTTCCTGTTTTTCTCCGAAAACCTTCAGGAGGGATCTGGCAGGTCCCAGGAAGGCTCGGAGGTTTGCAGAGCTCTTAGTTGGAAACAAGAGGGATTAGAAGCCCTGTCTTCCAACTTCCCAGCCTGACATTCCAGTCCAGAGGTACACAGAGGTGGGACCATACACCCAGCACACTCGGTCCTGGCACGGAGCACAGTTCAAGGCTCAGCCTCAAGACATGAGCCACCAAAGCCCTGAGGGCAAATATTCCTGCGTGTCTTCCAGGGCTGGCTGGGCTGCACCTTGAAATCACCAGACTCAGAGGGGCCTTTAGTGCCTTTTCCTTCAAAACACACTAGAAGTACGCCCCAACCTATTTCCTGCCCCACTGCCAAGCTTGAGGCTCAGCAGAACTCATCTGCATAAAGGCAGTCACTGCCCAGGGTCATTGCCTTCCGGCCAGGCTGTGCCACGGAAAGAACCTTAATCACAGGGTCGGTGCCATGTCCCTCAATATAGTGACCACTGGCAGCAACTCTGCTCGCTGGAGCTCTGTGGCCAGACCATTTTTGACACAAAGCAGGTGGAGGAGAGATAGAGCCTGCCAGAAACCCCAGGCCAGTTCCTGCTGAGGGATCTGCCCCCAACCTGGGCCACTACTGTACCCTATTCTTGGCAGCAAAACAAAACTGGTCCAGGCTAAGCCAGGCCTGGTAATTCTCATTTCACATCGACCCTGGGGGGCCCTGGTGACCACAAAGCCTGGATAATGAGACCCCGTTGGAAGCCTGGCCACCCCTCACCCTCTCTTTCTGTTGCTTCCCACAGCACCTGAGGAGCATAAGCCGCTGACCAATGGGGAGCCTGGCCAGCACTCCTCAGCTCCTCAGAAGAGTCTTCCAGACCTCCCTCCACCCAAGATCGTAAGTGTAATTCCAGCCCCCCAATTTCCCTGACTCGAGTCCTGGGCGCTTCCAGCTGTTGGCCCAGGTGTCTGTCCACCTGTGGCCTGCACTTTCTAAGCCGCTACTGTGCAGAGCATGGGGCAAGGCACTGGGAGAGACAGCAAAAGCAGCCTGCTGCAGAGGACGTTGGCTCAGGTCATGTTGCCCAAGGTGCTCAGGATGACAGGAGTCAGAGATGGAGGAGATTGCCGTTGTCAAGTGGCATTGCGTGAATGAGGCTTTTCCAGGCTCCTCATGACCAGAGGGGCTGTGTGTACCTATGGTCAGCAGCAGGTGACTCTTAGGAATGTGAATCTTATGACACTGCTCTCTCTATGTGAAACCCACCGTGACTCTTACTGAGTTTAGAAAAAAACATCCAGGCCCTTAACTTGGCTCCAGGCCCAGCCACATCCCAGGCGTATTGCATATGATTTCCCTGGCCTCCCTTCTGGGCCTGGATTGTACTACATGGTCAGTCCTGCCTTCCCGGGCCCTAGCTCATCAATGACTGCCACTTCACATTCAACCAGTCATTCTTAGACAGCCTTTCTCAGACTTGCCTACCTGGGGCACCCTACTGTCATCCTGCCGCAGTTACTGTCTGTCCCAGCCATCCCCTCCCTCCATGACACTTGCCTTCGTGGATATGACCTTGCTTCCCAGGCCAGATGGAAGCCCTCTGACACAGAGCCCATGCCTCTCACTGTTTCATGTACTGTGTCTCCACACACAGGAGGACATACACGTATGCCCATAGATAGAAGGAATTGGAAAAACACACAGACTTGGGTTCAGATCCTAGCCGTCCCAGGTCCCCATTCTGCTCTTTGACCTTGAGCAAGTAAATTAAGGTCTCTGGCATTGAAGTGAAAGGCTATGAACATGTCCTAAGATTGTCTTATTCAGTGAGCTAAGGCTGGGCGTGGACTCCTCCAGGGTATTTGGCGAGCTGGGACTGCGTGCGTCTCTGGTACAGTGGGAATTCTCCTGCCAGGGCTGCTGGTGGGTCAGCACCGGGTGGGAGGGCTGTCCCCAGGCAGGGATCGAGTGCTGACTTGTTCTGGAGACGTGTGTTTTCAAATGTGCTGGAGGCCCAGGGCCTGTAGTGATAAACAGATCAGGTCACATGAGTCCCAGCAGCCCCCGGTGTTCTGAGGCGGGCCTCTCTGCTCGCTGGTCTGTCCCCTGTGGCGTGGGCATTGAGGATATCAAGGCTGCAGGATGCAGGACACAGGGCCTCTGGCCTCCTGAGCCTCCTCCCGGGCAGTCGCCCCCATCCGCCCTGGCCTCTCTGGGCCAGGCACGGCTTGTCCACAGGCGAGAGGACCTCGGTGCTGGAGAGGGAGAAAATAGCACCACCCAAGAATAACACCACCCCAGGGTGGCCTTCCAGACTGTGATAATTGTGCCTGTGGACAAACTCCAGGCCCCGGGGAGACGTCCAGCCAAACCAGCTGGCTTTATACAGTCCTCCTCCCTCCTCGTGGAATTTCTCTGCTGAAACCAGGGGGCTGAGTGGGGGTCCTCTCCTTCTGTCCCGGGCACCCTTCCCCACTTCAAGGGGCTTCCAGGTTGCTATGGAGAAGGCGGTGGCGTCAACCAGGTCCACCCCCGCCCTCCACACACACGCACGTGGCTGCTCTCCCTCAGGCTCCTCTCTGGTCACGTTTGGCTCAAGTGGCCACAACTCTTAGTCCAAGGCCCCCAGAGGGGTGGGTCAGGGTGGAGTGGGGAGCAGCTGTGTCTTCTGGCTCGGAGGGAAGAGACTCAGCAGCAGCTGCCGTTTAGGAGGGAGAGATGGAGGGAGCATGGCAGCAAGAGCCTGGAGTGACCCTGCAGCCCTCAGACCTTCCCCCACCCCGAGCCCCCGAGTTCAAGGTGGCACAGTGTTGGTCAGTCCTAATGCCCAGCTCCCCAGGGGCTCCCTGGTGACAGCAGCAGAAGCTGGGCATCTGCCTGGGGTCCCCAATACCTGTCCCCATCGTGGCCTGTCTCCAGCTCAGAATATCCCCTCTCCAGTCCCCCCCAGTGGACAGCAGCGCCCCCAGCAGCAGAGGGGCAGCCAGGAGTCCCGAGCAACCTCAGGGAATAGCCAGTGACTCGGGCAGCCATGACCTTTGCAGGCTACTCTCCACACAGCCAGGTGCTGTGCTCACTCCCAGGGGTTTGCTGTCTGCCCTGTGCTCCCAGCTAGCTCAGGCAGCCCCACCCCGCACCCCTTGAGGCCTGACCTTCATTGGTGCCAGACCCGGGGGAGCTGTTCTGGGTGAGGGGGGACACAGCTCATTTCACAGACACTGCCGTGTGGGGTTTAGGGAGCTGGGGCCAGCAGATTCATCGCTCTCATCCAGAACCTTCCATGGTACACTTAGCACAGAAGCGATACCTCAGGTTAGCTGAGTAAGGTAAGGGCCACCCCTTACCTTCCACTCCGGTGAGTCTAAATCAGTCAACAAACTGCAGCCCCCTGGCTAAATCCACAGCCACTTGCTTTTGTAAAAAATGTTCTATTGGAACACAACTGCAGTCATTCAGTTACTCACTATTTTGGATGCTTTTGAGCTATGACAGTGGGGATGAGGAGCTGATCAGAGACCTGGGGTGGCCCGAGATCCTCAGGCGTGGATTTGCCCTTCCTGGAGCAAGCATCCTGGCTTCTGGAAGATCATGCTGACTGGGCTGCTTCCCCCTCCCTGGCCCTTCCCTGAGCCTCGGGAAGTTATTTCAGGTTTTGAAGCCAAATCTCTGTGTCATTTCGTGGTCCCCAGCCCCACTGTGTGGTGAGGAGGGCGATCAAAGGATAGCCCTTTCTGCTCGACCCTTTATAATTACCTGATTTCTTTATAATTACCTGATTTCTTATTTTTAAGATTTATTTATTTATGCACACAAGAACTGGGGTACAGGCCAGAAGTGTGGGGGGTGAGACGATTCAGTAGAGACAGGGCAGGGAGCAGAACAGGCCCATCAACTGAAATCCACTGCTGAGGGGAGCAGCGGGCGGGTCAGGAGAGGTCTGCCACGCCCTGTGGGTCAGCAATCCAGTCGGGAACCAGACTCTGGCGGTGGTGGGTGGCTGTGGAGCGCCACAGTGCTGTGCTCCAACTTGTTGCTCCACCAGGAAGGGCCCTGACTTCTTAACTATTATGCAAAACGCTGTCACCTTTAGCCTGACCCAGGCGTGCTTGTGCTCAGCAGCCTGAGGCAGGCCCCAGCAGCCTTCAGTAAGACGAGACTGACACTCGCCAGGTCAAGTCACAGTCCACTTCGTAACCCTCCAACCCGCCCTCTCGCCACTGAACTTACATATACCTGGAGCTTTCCCCCCTTAGATATTTTCATATTTCTTAGGTTATAAAACCAATACTTATTAATAGTGTTGAGCCCCGTTTAATCCTTCCCAAGGCCCCACCCAGGTAACAGGTATTCCTTCTCTGTCCATTTTATAGTAGAGTCCCCAGGACCTGAGCCCCGGCTCACTGCTCTCCCACCATCTCCTGAGCCAGGATTTGGGGACCTATCTCATGGGTACCCCAAATAAGCTTATTTTCCAAGGCAGGGGCGTCTGGCTATCCCCCAACTCCTATCAGCAGAACAGGGACTTCCAAAGGCCCAGGGGTCCGTCTGAGCTTGGGTCCCCTAGGGTCCTGCTTTTGCTAAGATCTCACCCCACCACAAAATCCCTCATCTGCTTTCACTTGAGAGTGTCCCAGAGGCCCAGGCCTGCCCCTCACACAGACCACCCAGCATGGGGACTCCTTGAAACCAGAAGGGGCAGGCTTCGCAGGTTTGGCCATGTCTGCTCCCATCTCATGCGTATTCTCTTGGCTGTCCTTGAGGTGCCATGATTCAGAAAGAGCCCACAGGCTCATGGGGCCGGCACAGTCACGCTGACCAGCAGCTGGCCTCTTTTCTCCTCCGCTGTGGCTTGCTTCCTAGTCCAGTGCAGGTGGGATCATGGAGAAACAGGATGGTCTCAGGCGCCATGCTTTGCAGCTGCCCAAGTTCTTTAATCTCCAAGTGTGCATTTCCCCTCTGCCTCCTAGGAAGTTCAGGGTCACCTTTGAGATTCAGCTCGAAGATGGTGCTCGCCAGGTCCCAGCAGTGCGCAGGAGCCACCTGTGCCCACAGACCTTTGCCTGGGTCTGTTCTTGCACCACTCAGCACACACTTGATGTGGGACATGTGTTACCTAGTGACCATCCTAGGGACGACTCCTGAAGGTTCTCTGTGGGAGACAGCCTATGTTTGCTGAACACTTGAACTTATTACAGCAAAAGCTTGGTGTTCAAACACCTGGTCACCTTCCTCTGTGTGCCTCAGCTCTTTGGGGAACCCTGGCATCTGCACCTTTCTTAGGGCTGCATGCCACCCACAATTGCGGGGGGCGTTTGAGGTTCATTTTGCAGAGGAACAAGCTGAGGCTTAGTGAGGTTAAGCCGTGTGCCCAGAGTCCTTCGTCTGGGTGCAGATAAACACTTCAGGGGTGTGTGAGGCCGAGGGAGGTTGGTATTCCATCTGTCTTCCCCACATGCTTTGAAGTTCAGTTGGGCGTTTTTTTCTTTCTGAGCCCTCTCTCCCCCCTCCTTTTACCCCAAGGCGTAATTCCAAGTTGTTCCCAGTGTATCATATCTGAAAATGTTTATTTGTGCATTCCACAGATTCCAGAACGGAAGCAGCTCTCCATCCCGAAGATTGAGTCTCCAGAGGGTTACTATGAAGAGGCTGAGCCATATGACATGTCCCTCAATGGTACCCCTGGGGCTGGGTGGGAGGGGGAGATGATGGAGGGTTCCACTTGCTTCCTGCACAGAGTGGAGGCACAGAGCACTGTCTCTGGGGAGCGGAGGCCTGCTGCCAGGCTGTCTGCACAGTGGCATGGGGCTGCCATGCTCTGCTGGATTCAGCACAGAAATGTGCCGGAGGAGGGTGTGTTGGCCTAGGGACACTAGGTCTTCGTGCCCTGGCTGTGCCAGAACGCAGTTTCTTTGGCTGGACCACTCGCCTTACTCGCCCACATGGGCCATGCACACTTCTAGGGGCAGGATCTCAGCAGCACTACTCAGATTCTGTGAAGAGAGACCACAAGTAAACAGGATGTGGAAGGTGTCAGGTACTGGTCGAGTGTGGTACAGGGTAGCCCAGAGTGAACTGGGCTGCCTGTCTGTGGGTCTTCACCCACCCACGCACTTAAAATTTAATTTTCTGCAGACACACACAAAAAGGATAATAGGTTTATTTACAAAAGGGGAAAGGCAAAAACCCAGGGAAAGAGAGAGGCATACACAGCAACTGGAATATCTTTCAGAGAGAGAGAGAGAGACAAGAAAGAACTGTCCAGACAGAGAGTACAGTGTATGCAAAGGTCCTGGGGAAGGAGAGCTCTTGGTACCTTTGAGGAATGACAAGGAAATCAGGTGAGGCAGGGGACAGAGACAGAGCGAGGACTGCAGCTTTTCCCAGAGTGAAATGCCCCACCGAGGGGCACTTAGAACTGAGCTCACCTTGGCATTAGAAAGACTCCTGTGCTGTGGGGCAAGGCTCACCCTGGAACCTTTTGTCCATGGCCAGTGGGTCTTGGCCTGAGAAGTCAGATACAAGATGCCCTTGGTGCGGGAATTCTATCTCGTAGAAAGGTTCTAGAACACGTGACTGTGAGCCATACTCCTGGGCAGCTGGGCCTCTGGTCCTCTTCCCTGCCTCTGTGTGTAAAAGGTCTTGGAAAGCAGAAAGCATTTGGAGTCCTTGGTGCTGGGAGTGAACCTGGCTGAGAGGGGCGTGGTAGTTTCGTAAAGATGAGGTGGGCCCAGCCTCCTGGAGCCTCATTGGATTCTTCTTGTCTTTCCTCATGCTTCACCTCAGGCCTCCAGTCCCGGGGACTGTGTGAGCTGAGGTTATTTTCTTCGAAGAGGCTGGTTTAGTGGGAAGACGCCACTGAGCTTGAACCCCTGTGTGTGTGTGAGGCGTGGCCAAGTCACCAGCTGGGCTGCGATTTGAACCACAGCCCAGGGCGTGGCGCTGCTGTCTGGATGCGTCTGGAAGGTGAAGCAGCGGCTTCATTGCTTCACTGGGAGCGCTTCGCCCATCTCTGGGATGCGGCCTGTGCCAGCTGGGGCCTGCCTCCCCGAAGCTGTGGGCTCGGGGTGCAGAGAAGAACCGCGCCTCTTAGCATTTCTCTCCCAGCCATGACTTTGTTTTTTTGACTTGAGCCAGGGTTGGGGGTGTCAGACGTTTCTCACTTAGTAGCAGTTCGGCACCGGGGGCTGGTCAGGCAGTAGTTTAGGGGCCCAGGCTGCTGTTTTGTTGGGGCTTGGTCACCCTCTAAAGCTGCAGGATCCTGTACAGCGCAAGTAGGGAACCCGTGTGCTGCTTAAAAGTGCCAGCCGGAAGCCCCCCGCCAGTGTCTGCCCACATCCCCTTGGGGCTGCACAGCCACGGGTCCTTTCTCGGACCTGGAGCAGCAGGGGAACGGTGTGCTTGCCAAGAGGGGGTCTCTCTCGCTCGCCCGCACCCCGAAGGGGAAGCACTAAGTTCTGGAGGACAGACAGCGTGTTGCCCCATCTGGGTCCGTGTCCCTGAATTTGGGTCTGTCCCGCTTTTCACCTTGTCTCTCTCTTCACCTTGCCTTTGTCTGTGCTTCCGGACCCCCCACAGCCTACTCTGGCACATCCCCCCCCACCGGAGTCCCCAGATGGGCGGGACTTCCGGAAGGAGTCATTTACGCCACCATCACCTTGGGTACGGCTTGCCCCCCCCCCCGGAATGCCAGTGCCCTTGCGCCTGCTGCCTGGCTGGCAGGGATGGGGTGCACGCACGGGTCGCCACTGCCTTCTTTCGTTCTCACACGAGTCCCGCATGGGCGTGCTGCATGCAGCCTTCCAGGAGACTGAACAGGTGCGCACAGACGCCTGCCTGTAGCATGCAAAATGCATGGCTGAAGGGCCCAGGTGGTGTGTGTTGGCCCTGAGGACTTGAGAGCACCGTGGGGTGCCGTCCATCCGGGGTGGCAGATGGGGGTGGGATTAGCCACGCATCTCGCGCCTTCTCACCGCAGCCTGCGGGGCCAAGCATCTGTCTGGAGGTCAGCTCCGTGTGCCAGCCACTACGCCCAGGGGTCGGCCTCCATATTGGCCGAGTTCCGGCCGCCGCTCTGGGCAGTGTGCGGTCTGCGGCTTGCTGTATCTCAGTTAACTTCCCACCTTCCTCAGCGCCCCCCACCCCGCCCCCCGCCCCCCAGCACAGGCAGACGTTCAGTTCTCCAGGAAACACCAGGGCAGCCCAGAGGCAGAGTCACGCAGCTCTACACACCATCACTGGAGCTTCCCTGTAAACTCGTCACTGAAGGCAGATCCCGGGACAGGCTTCCCCCTCCCCTGGCTTCCCCGCACTTATGCAGATAATGCTGTAAAATGAGGCCAATTTTTTTTTTAAAGATTTATTTATTTGTGCATACAGAACTGGGGTGTAGGCCAGAGGCGCAGGGGCGGTGAGAGGCTTCACCAGAGACAGAGTGGGGAGCAGAACAGGCAGATCGACGAAGTCCACTGCTGAGGGGAGCAGCGGGCGGGTCAGGAGAGGTCTGCCACGCCATTTGGTCACCTCCGGGGCAGGCGGGAATCGAACTCATGCGGAAGCGGCTTCAGCTTCTCAGTAGTGCTGTGCTGTAACCCGCTGCGCCACCAGGGGGGGCCCGAGGCCAGTTTTTACAAAGTCACCTGATCCAGTCCGCCACCTCCCGCTGCCTGCGCGCTGGCGTCTCCCTAGGTAATCCCGGCCGGCCCCGCTTTCCCACCCCGCCAGGGTGACTGCAGCCTCGCGGGGCCTCGCGTGTTTGCCCCTCGTGGGTGAGGTCGCGCCGCCGCAGCCCTGCCTGCGGAGTGTTGGCTGCCAGTGAGCCACTGTCCCGGTGCAGGTGACCTTCTCCCCTTCTTTTTTGAAAAACCAGTTTGAGGACAAACCCCCAGACCCAGGCCTTTAGGGGCAAAGGGCGAGGGTGCTTCACGGCTCTTCGACCGTGGGCTGCCACACATCCTGCAAGACCCGTGTTCGTTCACGTTCCACCAGCAGTGGGGTTCAGGGTCCCCCCGCCGCGTGGCGGGCTGTTGTCAGCCTTGGCTTATTGAGAAGGTATAAAGTGATGAACTCGGCAACTTGTTCAAGTGTGAAGGTGAGTTGCACTTTAAAGGGAACTGCCATTCAGGTATCCCGGATGTTATTTTTAAAAACGAAAACACATTTTGCATCAGTGTTGTGCTTAGAATAACTGTGCCGTGGCCCGTGGCCGCGTAACGTTTTCCTGATTCTGACGGAGTCTGTGTAAGCGCATGGGGAGCACGGTGTGGAGAGGAGGGGTGCCCCTGCATCTTGGGGCCACTGGGTGGTCTCTCTGCTGTGTTCCTGGGGGGAGAGAGGTTTCACTCCCCACCTTGGGACAGAACGCGTGTGTGGAAGTCACCGGGAAGCAGATGGAGGCCCCTCATTCTGTTTGGGGCTACCCAGGAGGGGAAGGCACAGCCCCCCTCCAGCAGAAGTGAGCTCCCACCTGTGACAGCCGCGCAGCCTGCAGGTTACGACAGGCAGGACCTGCCTGTGCTGAGCCAGGCTGGATGGGGCGTCCTGCTTTTGGGGGGCTACTGAGGGATATTTTTCTTCACATAGCTTTTGTGGGCCTGGGGAGTGCCGGGAAGCCAGAGGGCAGAGCGGCCCTCACAGGGGAGGGGCAGTGGAGGGGGTGTGTGGAGAACACATAGAACGGGCTGTGGCTTGTGCACGAGAGCCTGGGGGTCTGTAGAGCCAGACAGAAAGGGGTGCTTGGCTTGCTGCCGGGGTGGAGGGAGGGTCTGAGCTGGCAGGTTCATGCTGGAGGTGCTAGTGGATGGGTGGGAAGGGCGAGGAGCAGGGTGGGCGGTGGGGCCCCATCTCCTGCTCTGTGACCCTTTAGTCCCCCCTTGTTGAGGGCCAGAATTGGGGGCAGGTGGGCCAGTGAAGCGGCTCAGGATGCTGCCTCGTGTGTAGCTCTGGGCCCAGAGGGTACCCTCCTCCCTAGAGAACGACAGAGCGCCGGGCCCAGAAGAGCCTGGCAGCTCCTCACCCTGCTGCTTCAGCCTCTGGTGGAGGAAACAGAGGCCTGGAGGAGGGGACCGGGCCCTCCTGAGAGCCAGCCACGGTCTGTGGACACGGTCTTGCCAGGGAAGGGGACACACTGGATTTCTGCTGTGTCTGCGGCCAGAGGCAGCCTCGGGGACGCATCACTGGGAGCCTGGGGGCCTTAGGGCTGCGGGGCAGGGCTTGGCCAGCAGCGGGCTGTGGCCTGCAGCCCGCCGCCGTACCCCGTGGGCACACACGTCGGGAGCTGCCGCTGGGCTGACGCGTGTGTCCCCTGCAGAGGACGGAGAGGCCGTGAGCAGCTCCTACGAGTCCTACGACGAGGAGGAGAGCAGCAAAGGCAAGTCGGCCCCCTACCAGTGGCCGTCGCCCGAGGCCAGCATCGAGCTGATGCGTGACGCCCGCATCTGCGCCTTCCTGTGGCGCAAGAAGTGGCTGGGACAGTGGGCCAAGCAGCTCTGCGTCATCAAGGACACCAGGCTGCTGGTCAGTCGGCTCCCCCTAGCATGCGGTGGGGGCTGGGCCGGGCCTTGACTCCGGGTGGCCGGGCGCTGTCAGGTTGTGTGCGCGGATGGGTGGCCTGCTCGTAGCCAGAAGTCTGTGGCCTCCATGAGTCTCCCGGCTGGCCGGCGGGATGACTGTCCCCTGCCCCAGGCCCAGCCTAGATTCTTCCCTCACGCCGCACCCCGGCCCCCATTCTTTTGTCCCCCTTTTGTTATGAGTCATTCTTCCTCATGTCCCAACCGTGGGGGGTTTGGAGCAGACCTCGATGCCCAGCACCCCTCACCTCTCTACCCCCGCCCCCCACACACACTGGCTCCCCTCAGCCCTGGTCCTGGCTACAATTTTCATCTGTGGAGCAGGAGACTCACAGGCATCTTCTCGGAGGTTGCAGTCTTTTGAGTTGCTGGTCGGAAGACAAGCCCCAGAGGTGCAGCCACCAACAGCCCTGTCTCTCGTTCCTATAAGTTAAAATTCCACTTTCTGTGCTGACTCGATGGTCCGTGGAGTTACCGTAACACCCTCTCTCCACTGGCTGCATCGCTTATTTTCAGGCACTCATGCTCAGAAGCCCTCAACAGACCCCCCCCCCCCCCCATTTCACAAGGACACACTGAGGGGCCAAGTCCCTTCACCCTCTGTGAGGGGAGAGTCCGTTCCTTTCCGTGCACCTCACCTCCCGACTGAGCTTAGTCTGCATTCTATCCGGACCCCACCCCGGCTGGTCAGGCTGAACAAGACACGCAGAGGGGTTGAGAAACTGGAAAACCGCTGTCCACCTGTTTATTAAGTGGCCCACGAACGACCTGTTTTAGCGTCCAGCCCTGGCCTGCAGGGAGGCAGATGGGCTGGGATAATTTGGGCATCCCTGGCCAGGGCAGCTGAGGGGCACCATATGCCCGGTCACTGTGGTACTGAGCAGCAAGACGATGCTCGTAGAGAGTGCAGGCTGTGTTCCTGCCGGGCACCGCCTCGCGCTGAGAGGTCTGCAGCCCACAGCCCCGCCTGGTGCTGCTGGCCAGGTAGCACGCCGTCTCTCCTCCTGCAGTGTTACAAGTCCTCCAAGGACCACAGCCCGCAGCTGGACGTGAACTTGCTGGGCAGCAGCGTTGTTCACAAGGAGAAGCAGGTGCGGAAGAAGGAGCATAAGCTGAAGATCACGCCGATGAACGCAGACGTGATCGTGCTGGGCCTGCAGAGCAGGGACCAAGCCGAGCAGTGGCTCCGGGTGAGCGGGGCCGCCAGGGTGTGCGGAGAAGGTTTTGCGCCCCTCTAGAGCTCCCAGGGGGCCCCACAGTTCTGCTCCCCAGATTTTTTCCACCTTGGAAATTGCCAAGGTGAAGGGGTGCCTGGTTCTTCAAAGTCCTGGGCTGTCTGAGGTCTGAGTGGAAACCAGAAGCGGCCCCTGGGCTCCGCGTGGGCCTGCGTCCTCGGCGGCCTGGGCTGGGGCCCTCTGCCTCCAGCAGGGCACCACCAGCCTCCCCAGTACGCAGCAGACCTCGCCACCGCTTGCTCGGTGGCTGGGACAGAGCACTTTGAGCAAACGTGACCCTCCTCGCCACCCTGGGGAAAGCGGTGACGCCAGTGTCCCCATTTCACAGGAGTGGAGAGTGAGGCTCAGAGGGAGAAGGTGGTGGTCAGGGTCACCTGGCAGGTGAGCGGCAGGTCAGATTTCACAGCCAGGGCTGTCTGGGTATGGTCCTGTGAGTTTTGCTACCCAAGGCCGTCCCCGAGGGCAGCCTGCTCTCACCTGTGCTGAGGAGGCCCCGGAGCGGCTCGCCTGCCCTGTGTTAAGGACGCGCTTCCTAATTCCAGAGGGCAGGGCTGTGCCAAGCAGGTGTCCATACTTCCCTGCAAGGTGCCCTAGGAGGCCAGTGGGAGCAAAGCCCTGCCCTCCTGCTGCCCCCCGCCCCCGGCACACACACCGTGCGGATCTGTTTCCATTATGGGGGCACCATCTCCGCCCTCCACCCTAGCACTGCCCCGGTGAGCATAACCTTGGCGAACCTGTCGCCACAGCCATTTGTGGCTCAGCTCTGCAGCTCTCCATGGGGCACCCTGCCAGGCTCTTGCTGCTCTGGTTGAGCTAGGCTATTTTAAGAACGTGGTTTCTGGGTTCACATCTTGCCTTCACCCCTTTGAGGCTGAGCGATCTGGGCCAGTCCATGCCTGCGTGGTGCTCAGCCTGGCATCTAGCATGAGCTGACTACTCCTTGGCAAGTTCCGGCAACAGGTGCAGAGAGGGAGGGCCCTGCGCAGCGCGGCCGAGCTAAGGCCAGGGCTCGGTGCGCTGCTGGCTTAACTCCCCTCTCTTGCCCAAACGCCCCGTCTCCATGGCAGCCCTGTCCCAGCCCCGGCTTGCACGCGCACACACACACACTTGGCCACTTGCACATACAGACACTTGCGTGTGTGCACATGTGTGCACGCACGTACTCCACACCTGCTCCCAGTTCCTAATTGTTCCCCGGCTGCTCAAACCCACCTGTCCATCCCCAGACCCCCAGCTTGCCCCTGCCAACTCTCATGCCCTCTTCCAAAGACCCCTGGCCCCCACAGCCTTGCTGGGGTCTCAAAGACAAAAAATGCTTCCAGAAGGCACAGCCCCTCTCCGGCTTCACAGAAACCCTTTTCCGCCCACTCCAGTGGGCGCAGAGGGCACCTGGCTGGAAGTCGCCGGCTCTCCGGCTGTGCGCTCATGCTGGCTGGTGGGCCTGGCTGGGAAGGACGCCGGGCCAGCTGCAATCTGTTCAATCAGCCCCACCTGTGTTCCTGGGCCTCTGCGTCCGACTGCCACCTGTGGCCCCAGGGTATATGCCAGGGAAGGGGAGTTGCTGAGCAAGGTGCCAGGCATGCACTGCAGCCCGCTGCTGGGTCCCGGCCACATGTGGGCCGGCGGGGGAGACTGCTCCTTGGGCCTCCGCCTCCCTCCTGACCTGAGGCCCCCGCTAACTGCCATCCTCTTCCTCCAGGTCATCCAGGAGGTGAGTGGCCTGCCTTCGGAAGGAGCGTCCGAGGGGAACCAGTACACCCCAGATGTCCTGCGCCTGAACTGCCAGAAAGTAGGTCTCTGCCTGGCCCGGAAAGGAAACTGTTCTATTTCTTCCCCATAAAAATTAAGTGCGGATTGGGGAGCTTTATGTGTGCATTTCGGCCCAGATTAGTAAGAAATATGCCACCCTGGTGTCTGGGCAGGCACTTCAGCTTGGTGGGGAAATTCATGAAATTGATACAGACCTTACTCTAGGGAAGCCTTAGAGGGCCAGAAGTAGTATCCTCCCCTCCTAAAGGAGGAGACTTGCTTGTCCGGCCCCAGTGCTGGACAATGGAAATGATCTCAATGCTGGCCCCGCCCCGAGAGAGCTCACTTGCATGGGGTCGTGGGCCACTGCTTGGGGTCAAAGCCGAGGGAGGTGGGCTGGGTGCCGGCGAGGGGCGGGCCCCCACCCCTGGGTCACTGTTCACGTCCCTGGGTGTCGGCAGGTAGGTGCCCTGAGAGGTAGCAAGCAGGTAGGCTTGCTCCTGAGAGCTAGAGGGTCATTGCCCCTCCACTTGGGGTCCCCCACCTCCAACAGGGAAGCCGGGGGAGGCCGTCTGTCCTTTGCAGAGGCACAGGGCATGCCCCGTGAAGGAACACCCACAGCCCTTCCAGGAGGACTGTCTCGTCCATCCCTCGGTCACAGATGAGACAAAAGACAAGTCAACTGGGGCTTCTTCCCATTGGGGTGGGAAACAGCTCTACCCAAGGCCAGCCATCCTGGTCTCTGCCTCTGGCTGGTCTGCCGGTGGGGAGCCCCTCCACTTGTTTTCTGCCGTAGGGGTTCTCCAGAAACAGCTTGACGGGTGTGTTGAGCTCTCCACATGGTCACAGCAGCCAACATGCTCTTCCAGCGGCCGCCTCTCGCTCCCTGGGGGTGCAGAGCGGGCTAGCTTCCCCACTCCCCATTCTGGGCGAGGCCCAGAGGGGCTGGAGCGTATGCACGCCACGACTGGGGCCATGGCTGGGGCCGTGAGCCGACCTTGTGGACAAGGCTCATCTCTCCGGCCTCCAGGCCGCTCTGGGTGTGGGTCATGCCAGCTTAGCCATCAGCTGCAGTGGGGATGCCAGCTCCGATGCCACAGGGGCTGGCTGGCTCCCTTCCCATGTGCGAGGCGCCTGCACATGAGGTTATGCGCCTGCAGCTGGGGAAGGCGCTCGGGAAGGGGCAGAGACCCTCACCAGGCAGGTCCCCCGAGAGCCCGGGAGGGAAGCCTGGACCTGGACTCACGCTGAATCTCTGGCCCCAGTTTACAGCCCTGTGGTCTCTGGGTCACGCGAGGCCCCACTTTCTCTCCTCTGCAGGCAGACATAACGGAGAAGTGCCTGTCGGGCTTGGACTATGGCAGCTCTGTGGATGGCCACCTGGAGGTCCCCGAGACCAAAGATGGTATGCACCCCTGGCTCTCAGCCCCGGGCAGGAGGGGGCGGGATCCCAGGCCAGAGAACCGGCTCAGCCCGGCTTTGACAGCTGATTCTAACTTGCCTGAGAAATCCTGCAGCTGAGGGCCCAGCAACCAGGATAATCAAATCGAAGTTAATCGCGTGCATTGCTGGAGGAAGCAGGTCCTTTCATCTTCTGGACTGCTGACCCTATTTCGACACAGTCCATACGGAATCTACGTGCTGACCTATTTTCTGAGAAGGAGGTGGCCCCTCGCTGGCCCGCGGGGGCGTGCGTGGGGAGGGGGCGTCAGTGGGCTGTGTGCTGTGCCGACAGCTCTTCGTTTCTCCTCGACAGTCAAGAAGAAGTCTTCTGCTGGCCTCAAACTGAGCAACCTCATGAACCTGGGCAGGAAGAAGTCCACCTCGCTGGAGCCTTCAGAAAGGTCCCTCGAGACGTCGTGTAAGGTTCCAGGCCGCCTCCAGAAGGCGCTCCAGGCCAGAGCCTGTCTCCAGGAAGGCAGCTCGGGCTGGGCAGCGCCATCAGGGCTGGTTTTGGACCTGTCCAGGGCAGGGGAGCTGGCAGCCCAGTCTCCTCACCTTTGTTGCAGGTGCGGCTTTGTGCCTCACCTGTCTGTCTCGCTCCATGTGGCTGCTTTGTCCAAGTGAAGGATGATCGTTGCCTTCCTCATGGTCTTTAAAATATGTGCACTTGGTCAATACTCAGGGAGTGTGGCAGATGGTGTCAGGAAGGTGGAACCAAGACCATGGATACAGGAGCCTCTCCAGACCGGGGGTGACGGCTCACACCCGTGGCCACAGCCGCGCCGTCTCAGTGGGTGTTAGGATGCAGGGGCAGAAGGAAGCTCCCACTCTGTGGTCAGGGATGGCTTGAGGCTGAAGTGGAAGTCACAACCGCGTCCCTCTGGACAGCCCTTTCCCCAAAACTAGCAGAGCTAGGTGGCCTTCAAAAGGCAGACAGAAATCTGAGTCACAGCTTCTAGGAGGTCACGCTAAGTGCTGGGACGGAGATTCTGGGGGTGACTCAGGAGGACCAGAGGTAATGGAGCCCCAGACAGCCCCCAGCCTGGCCCCCTGCAGCTCTCTCCCTACCTGCAGGCTACCTGAACGTGCTGGTGAACAGCCAGTGGAAGTCCCGCTGGTGCTCCGTCAGGGACAGTCACCTGCACTTCTACCAGGACCGGAACCGGAGCAAGGTGGCCCAGCAGCCCGTCAGCCTGGTGGGCTGCGAGGTGGTCCCGGACCCGAGCCCCGACCACCTCTACTCCTTCCGCATCCTCCACCACGGCGAAGAGCTGGCCAAGCTGGAGGTACGGCTGGGGGTTGCGGGTCAGGTGGGCACAGCAGGGCGTGGAGGTCACAGCTGCTTTGCTGCCGTCCTGTGGCCTGTGATCCTACAGTGGTGATTCAGCTGTGCCCTTGTTATTTTTGCTTTCTTTGCCTGAGATTTTTTGCATTTAAAAAAAAATTCCATTCGCTTTCTGACCTCAAGATGATTGAGTTATAAGAGCGGGACAACGAGCTGCTTCCTGTACTTAGGCGGGAGGAGTATTTATATAACCCCAGAGCCGCCGGAAAACGGTGCAGAGTGGGGCTGGCTTCCTTCGTGTGTCACCAGGTGTGGTGTGGTATGGAGCCCGGCCCCTAGGGCTGATCTGAAGAGCTAGGCTTGTGATGCAGTGCTGTTTCTCCTACTCCTCACGCGGCTTGGTGTAACGGCACACTGACAGAAATAAGAAGTGATGTAGTGTGTGGCCCTGAGCTGGGAGGGCGGCCGGAGTCCCTTGAACGCACAGGAACACACCCTCTCTGTTCATGTCTCGCCACCCTCCATCTGGGGTCTGTGTCCAAATTCCGCCGCAAGACTGCCCTCTGGTGGCTACAAGCCGAATCCCACTGCTTCCCAGGGACAAGCCTGTCCCTGTCCACTCAGAGTTTGTGTTCTCGCATGAGAGCGAGATGTTAGTCAGTTAATTACTCAACCAGAGTCAACGTGGGGGAGCAGGTGCTGGGAAAATGTTCCAAGGCCCCTGTGCTGGGGTCGTGCGTGTGTGGTGCGGTGGTGGTGGGGTTACTGAGAAGGCCGGGAGGGGTGAGTCCTGTGAGTACGCAGCCCGAGGGGCAGACTGGATTTCGAGGTGTTCCTCCAGTGGCTGGGGGCTACAAATGAGACTGTTAGGAAGCGGTGATGGTTGCCAGGCACAGATGAGGTGGCCAGCAGTAAAGTGTTCGCAAGAAGCGACACTTGTAGCTGTAGCTAGAAGTCAGGCTGGGTGTGAGGCAGCTCCCCCCCATCCCCCCAGCGTGCACTGGAGGTCGAGCTGGGCGTGGGGTGCTTTTCCTGGTGAAAGTGAACTTGTAGCAGCTCTAGGGTTCTGTGTTTTCTGTAAGAGAAAAAGTCATGTTGGCATTCTGGTAGAAATAGCCAAGATACATGATCAGAGCACATTCGGTCTTGGAAAAATGTGAGGCACCAAGTTCAGTGGGAATTTGGTGTGACATGGATGACAGCTGGTGTAGGTTCGAGGCAGCCTGGCTTTATGGAAGCCAGGCAGAATTCGAAGGCTGTTACTTGTTAGCAGGACCCAGGCGGTCGGCCATGCATGGGCTAGTTCATGAATCACAGGCGCTGATCTAACACAACCGTAAAATCACGTGGGACAAATGTCCACAGTATCACTGTGGTGAGAAGATGCAAAGATGTCCCACGAGGGAGGGCAAAGGAATTTCTTTCCTGTGGCAGGAAATATCTGGGTTCCAGTAGAGACCTGTATGCGCCAGCAAAATGAGGGAGGTTGGCCGGGGAGCCCTCAGCGGCGTTACGCACGTGACATCTCGGGGCGCGCCCAGGGAGAAGGCTTCCTCCCAGGCTGCTCACTGCCTCCTCGTCCTCCTCCAGGCCAAGTCTTCTGAGGAAATGGGCCACTGGCTCGGCCTCCTGCTGTCCGAGTCGGGCTGCAAGACAGACCCGGAGGAGTTCACCTACGACTACGTGGACGCGGACAGGGTCTCCTGCATCGTCAGCGCGGCAAAGAACTCTCTGCTGTGAGTCCTGTGTACGCCCTCCGGTTCCTGGGCCCCAGCTGAGACCGGGAACTCGGCTACGACCTGCTCCTCAGCCGAAGGCCCAGGGCCCCCTGCTGGGAGCCAGGCCCGTGGCCACTTTGGTTCCGTTCAGATGTGCTCCAGCTCCTGGGCCAGAGTCCCCGCCTTTCCTGACCCCCCTCTGTCCCCCGCATCCTTCCCTGGGACCCCAGCGAGGCTGAAAGGCGGTAGGGGAGCAGGCCCCACCACTGAATGGCTCTGGTTCCTGTGCCAAGTGGCAGGTGCCTGTGAAGATGTGAGAAAAGCGCTGGCGGAGACCCCGAAAGGGAGGAGTCAGGGCGAGAAGAGGGCAAAAGGCTCCCAGGAGGGAGGGCAAGGGAATTGGTTTTGCCGGGACTCGAGCGCTCTCTGAGGTGGAGCAGGACACCCCGAAACAAAGGGACCGGTTTCGTGACGACGGCGTGTACCGCTATCTGCGCCACCTGCGCCCCCCACTGCCCACGCTGACCCCTCACGCTGTCTCCAGCCTGATGCAGAGAAAGGTCTCGGAGCAGAACATGTACATCGATGGCCTGCCCAGCCCGGCCCAGCAGGACCTGCTGTATGACGACGTGGAGATGTCCGAGCTGACGGCCGTGGTAAGGACACCGCAGGGAGTGGCCTGCCCCCCGCCCCCCACCTCGCTGCCTGTGTCACCCCCGGCCTCCGTGCACAGGGTCAGATCACCCCACACCTGCCTGGGGTCCAGGCCACCGCAGGGCCCTCAGGGGGACTCAGGTGCGGTAGCTCGACCTTTGTACCTGGGCTGGCCTCCCCGGCCGGGGTGTCCACCCTGCCCTCCGTGCCAGGGTCGGGGGCTGGCATTGAGCCTGTGCTGAGGGCGGCAGGCCGAGCTCACTGAGCCCCCACCGCTTCCTCTACTCCAGGTCTCCTTGCAGATGAGGCATGTGCAGGGGTGCCCGGCCCTGGGGCCTGACCCCAGCCTCCTAGGCCCAGGAGGAAGGCCCCGCTAGCTGGAGGCAGGGCTGGGTGGGAGGCAGTGAGGAAAGCACGCACCTCTCCTGGGCAGGCGGAAGCCACCCCTGTGGCGGGTGCTGAGAGCGAGCCCGACCGAGTGTACCTGGACCTCACACCCGTCAAGTCCTTCCTGCATGGCGCAGGCGGTGCCCTGGCCCGAGCCCCGTCCCCCACGCCGCCACACCTGGACCCCTCAGCGGAAGTCCTACCCACAGTCCACAGCCCCAGCTCTGACGAGGCCATGGTGAAGTCTCCAGAGACTCCGGAGCTGCAGGTACAGGCCGCCCCCTGGGGGGCAGCCCCACCTCCCTGGGGCTGCGCTGAGTCATGCTTGCCCTCCCACGCAGATGCAGGGGGCGAGTGGGGAGCCGTCCCAGAGAATCTCAACCGCCAAAATCCAGGCTGAACAGCAGAAAGTCTGCTCACCCAGCTGCCCTGATGCTGTAGCTGTCACCCCAGCGGGGGCCAGCCCCCCGGTGAAAGACAGGCTGAAGATCACCTCTGCAGGTACCAGCGCTCGACACGAGTTGCGACTGTTAGAGAAGGTAGCCCCATTGCTTTCAGACGCGGGCTCAGAGAGGTGAGGGGTCTTGCCCCGGGTCACTCAGGATGGTATGGGCTGTCGCTGCCAGACTGGTCCTGTGCCACTGCCAGCGCCCTGGGTTCTGCCCAGGCCCCTCAGGGCTGGTGGCAGCTGTTAGTCCAGCCTGGCTGACCCGGGGGCTTCCCTCTCTCTGTAGAGATCAAACTTGGCAAGAATCGGACGGAGGCTGAGGTGAAGCGGTACAGCGAGGAGAAGGAGCGGCTCGAGAAGAAGAAGGAAGAGATCCGAGGGAACCTGGCCCAGCTTCGGAAAGAGAAGCGGGAGCTGAAGGAGAACCTGTCCAGGTGTACAGGTAGGGTCCTCTCAGGCCCCTCCCCCACCTCCCAGGGCAGACGCTGCTCCCCATCCTGTCTACACAGAGGTCAACAGAAGCAGGTCGCTGGAAGTCTCTAACAGCTCTACGTTTCGGCATCTGTTTTCACTCAGAACAACTGCTGTGCACTCCTGCCCCACCTCGTGGCCCTTCGTGGCCAGCGTCAGGTTCACGGTCTTGCACGCACAGGCTCCGGCTAGGAAGCCACCTGGGACAGGTCCCGGCCTGCAACGCGTCATCCTAAGACGCTTGCAGAGAAATCCGAGCTCTGGGTTCTTTGCCAGGTCACCCTCATCCCTTCATCAGTTGCCCCCTGCCAGCTCACCTCTCAGGTCCTGCCCAAAGCAGCTCCTTCACCATTCAAGTTGCCCGACAGCACACTTAGCTCACTGTGGAGAAGCCTGCGGGGCTTAAAGAATTTGCTATTTTGACCCATTTACAGCACGCGCTTTCGGTGCTGCACGCAGACTGATTTCAGAACACAGTCGTCGTCAGATCCATTAACAGATATTCCCTCCCCGCCTTCCTATCCTCGGCGACTTCTGATCTGCTTTGTCTTTATGAGCATGCGCCCTGGCTTGGGCTCGGCTGCTGTGCAGAGGTAGCAAGACAGAAGCTCCTTTCCCCCCTGGGGGGCTGGTCCTGGGCAGGGATTTGCAGCCCCAGCCCCTCCCCCAGGCTGCACAAAGGCCAGCTGTAGTTCATTCTCCTGGCAAATGAGCCCTGTAGATTCTAGGCAGGCCAGTCACCTGAGGAGAAAGTAACTCGCCAACTCTAACCCCCGGCCATCCCTCACATGCTTTCTCACCTGTTTTCCCCATGAAGGTTTCCGGTGTGGCCCCTGATACTCCCTGACCCAGACAAGGGCTGCTGACTGACCACTACTCTCGTGGTGGTTGTGGACCAGTGCTCGAGAGAAGCCCACTAGCAGTGGGCTCCTAGGACAGGCACCACAGAACCAACCTGAGAACCCCAGGGCCACACCGAGCGGACGGCAGGGCCCCGACGGAACATCTCCTCCATTCTCCCGGGTCATTCTCATACTCTCTAGGGTTGGCAAAGTCACTGAGCCCCGCTAAGAACTTACCAGGAGGGACTCAAGCCTTCCCCCAGCACGACACCCCAACTATGGGGCCCTTCCCCACCAGGTGTCCTGACCTGGCTGCAACCTGTCCCTGCAGCAGCTTAGTTCTCTCTGCAGATAAGGGTGTCATGGCCAGCCTGGAGCAGAAGCTGAAAGAAATCGATGAGGAGTGCAGGGTGGAGGAGAGCAGGCGCGTGGACCTTGAGCTCAACATCGTGGAGGTGAAGGACAACTTGAAGAAGGCGGAGGCAGGACCGGTGACCCTGGGCACCACAGTGGACACCTCGCATCTGGACAACACCAGCCCCCGCGTGAGTGTCACAGAGCCTCACGGATGCTCAGAGCTGCCTGCAGGGTCTCCTGGGCTGGGGGAGCGGGTCACATCACCGCTGCTCAGCCTCCCTCTCTCCTGTCACCAGCAGCCCAAAGCCGCCACCCCCACCCCTGAAGCTACGCCAGTCAACTCTGCAACAGCCCTCAAAAACAGGCCTCTTTCGGTCATGGTCACTGGCAAAGGCACCGTCCTGCAGAAAGCGAAGGTAAGTGGTCACTGCTGGCCTCTTCCATTGTCACCACGACAATGGAGCTGGCCGCGTATGAGGGACAGGGGCTCCATCGAGCACTGACCCTCACTGGTGTTCCTACATAGCAGTCCTTCAACTACCCACCTCGTGACTGTCTGACAGGGAGAGGGCTGGACTCAAAGACTGGCCTAACTGGATAATTACAGATAAAGTCAGTGACCTGCAGACCTCTGCCACTCAAGCCAACAGTCCTGAGAGGTTTTCCTAAAACCCCCAGCCTGGTGGCGAGTCGTAGGAGACGCTGGATGCCGTTACTTGGCCACCCCCCGGCGGTAGTGGAAAATGTTTAGTCGCATATTGAAGGGACCCAGAGGGGCCTCCTTGGTGGCGCAGCGGGTTAGGACGCAGCACTCACTGCAAGCTGGCCGCAGCTGCCTCCGTGCAAGGTCAATCCCAGAGGCGCGGCAGAC